TTTATATAATAAAATAGACTAATGTAAATACTTATAAACTTTCTAGTGTCAGACACTGTTCTGAAGACATATATTAATTCATTTAATCCTTATAAAAGCCCTGTGAGGTGAGTACTAATTATTATCCTCATTCGACAGAGAATGAAAGTGGAACACAGGGAAGGTCAGTAACTTACTCGAGCCACAGGGTATTAAAGTAGTAAGTTACTATATAAAAAGTTAAAATATAGGAAAAGTGGAATGAAGATGACAAACTCACAATCAGATCAAGAAGAGACAACCAACATCAAACATCTCCTTCTAGTATATTTTCAATGCACTCTGAAAAATCAAAAGCAACTAAATACATTGTCTTTCACTTATAAGCATCTACCTACATTATTACAAATTCACTGTGAACATTATTCATAATGGATGCATACTATAACGTAGAAATGCCACCGTGGACTTAATTCCTATTGTTAGACATTTAGGTTGTCTCCTCTAATTTTTTTTTAAATACATTTTTAAAATAGGTAACCCATTCACGTAGTTCAAAATTCAAAAGTATAACAAGTCTTATAAGGCGCAGGCCCTGTGGCCTAGTGGTTCAAGTTCAGCGTGCTCCACTTCAGCAGCCGGGGTTTGTGGGTTCAGATCCCAGGCATGGACCTACACCACTCATCAGCCACGCTGCAATGGCGACCTACACACAAAATAGAGGAAGACTGGCATAGATGTTAGCTCAGGGCTAATCTTCCTCAAGCAAAAAAAAAAAAAAAAAAAAGAAGATTAGCAAAAAAAAAAAAAAAAGGAATATTGGCAAAAAAGTTTTATAACGAAAATCTTCCTCCTGCCTCCCCCCTACCAACAGGTAACCACTAATATTAGTTTTTAAGACTCCTTCCAGAGAATTTTTCCTTTTTTTAACACAGCCATATAATATCCCATTGGATGACTATGTAGTCCTCTATTGATGGGCATTTGGTTATTTCAAATTTTTTGCTGTTACAAATAGCTCTTTAGTAAATAGGCTAGTATATATGTCTTTTCCTAAAAATGAGATTGAATCTGTGGAGAAATCTATAGAAATAGATTTACTGGATCACAGCCTGGACATTAGCCTTCCACAGGGGCAGGAACAACGTTCACTATTTCTTTTACGTACCCTCAGAGTGGTGATGGCCCGCACACACGCAGACGTAAAGATGCCAAAGAACACCTCCACACAGTTTCCTTTAGGTCTTTGAACTTTTATAACAGCTGATTTAATGTCTGTGTCTAGTAAGTTCAACACCTGGGCCTCCTCAGGGACACTTTCTATTGACTGCTTTTGTTTTCCTGAGTATGGGCCACACTTTCCTGTTTCTTTGAGTGTCTTGAATTTTTTATTGCAAAGTGGACATTTTAAGTAATATAATGTGACCACTGCGGAAATCAGGATCACTGCCCTCTCCCCTGGGTTTGTTGTTGTTGCCGGCTTTTTGGTTGTTGTTGTTGTTGCTATTTGTTTCTCTGGCGACTTTCCTGGACTAATTCTCTAAGTCCATATTCCCTGTAGCGTGTGGCCACTGAAGTCTCTACTCAGTTAGCTTAGTGGTCAGCTAGACGACGGGGCAGAGGTTTCCCTCATTGCTTTGAACCAGTAAGTCTTCTACACTTCTCTGAGCAGCTCAGTGTGGGATTAGGCACATCTTCATCATTTGAGCAGTTTACATGTCTGCCATAGCTTTCACTTGTAGGGGACCTCAAAGTCAGGCAGAGATGAGAGATTGGGGCCCTCTTGGGTCTTTCCTGTACATGAGCACAGGCCTGCACATGTGCATGGCCTTCTAGATCCCCAGAGCTTTTCAAAGCCCACTATGGGCCATCTCATTCCCCAGATCTCCCTTTTTTTTTCTTTTTTTTTGTGAGGAAGACTGGCCATGAGCTAACATCTATTGCCAATCCTCCTCCTTTCTTTTCCCCAAAGCCCCAGTAGATAGTTGTATGTCATAGTTGCACATCCTTCTAGTTGCTGTATGTGGGACACAGCCTCAGCATGGCCGGAGAAGCGGTACGTCGGTGCGCGCCCGGGATCCGAACCTGGGCCGCCAGTAGCGGAGCGCGCACACTTAACCCCTAAGCCACGGGGCCCGCCTCTAGATCTCCCTTTTAAATTTTTGGCCAGGCTCTTGTTTGCCCCCACCTGTATGACAGCCTCAGGCAGCTACAATGTTAAACAACTGCAGGTAATTATTTTAGACAAAAGCCCTCGAGATAGAGCTTTTCACACAGAGCAATCTCTAAGGCAGGTCAAATAATAGCTCCCTGGGATGGAGCTTTTCCAGGAAGCTGCGAGACAAGTGACAACATTCTGAAGACAGGGCTGAGGAACTCAAACCCAGTCTGCCCCTCCAAGCGGCTGCAAGGCTGATGGTTTTTAAGGCTACGGTGGAAGTGGGGGCAGGAGGATGAGAGGACGCCAAGTTAAAATGCCACAAATCCTACTGTTCCTACAAAGGCAGGCACTGTGCTAAGCACTTCACGTCCAACATCCCATTTAACCTTCAACAACCCTATGAGGTTAGAACTATTATAATCCTATTTTTCAAAAGGAGGAAACTGAGGCATACAGATGTTAAAGTAGCCTGTTCCAGGTCTCATGGCTAGTAAGTGACAATGTTGGTTTACGAACCATAATCTGTGATTCCAGTTTATTCTCAATTACTGTGCTATGTACTACTTTTCATTTGTGAGAGAATAATTCAGAGAAACTATGTTCAGTTAAAAGTATAGCTGAATATGAACTCGTGAGGGAGATCAATTATATATGAATTTTATAGAATATGTCATACATAAATTATCAATGAGGTTTTTCCCTAAACGAGTCATTCTTAACCACGGTATACATCTGAATCACGTGGAGCTTTTACAAAATACACCTGCACAACTTCCCTCTCTCCCTGTACTACCTGGGATGGACACAGATGTCGGTACTTTTAAAAGTTCTGCATAGATTCTCAAACTCAATCCCAGCCAAGAACCACTGCATTAGACTAAAAAACTCCTTAAAATCAGAACAATATCAACTATTTCATCACCTAATTTATATAGCAGGTGTTCATGCAGGAAAGATGATTCTTAGCCAAAACGGCATAAAGGAAAAAGCAGAGTGTTAGGAGGTAGAGAGACTTTGGTTTGAATCTCAGCCCTCTTGCTACATGTACGACCCAGAGAAAATTAACATCTCTGAACCTTGGTTTCTTCATCTATAAAACATAGGTTTAAAAAAAATATCTATCTCTTAGAGTTGTTACAATAATAGATAACTTATGCTGGAATGTAGTATGCACTCAAATGGTAGTTGTTGTTATTAACCCTGAAACTGAGCTTAGATTCAGAAATTCAGCAAATATTATTGAGTGTCAACTCTGGACAAAGTCTACTCTGTGACGATATCTGAGTGATAAGAGTCTTCTAAGAACTCACAATTTAATAATGAAGAGGCATTCTCTCTAAAAAGGGTAACTGTGAGGAGCATTAACATAGAGAGGTATATTTAATATATCTTGGGAAAATGGAGGAGGAGAAATAATTCTGATCTGGAAAGGGTTCTTAAAAGTGCAATGTGAACCATGCCCCAAAAGAAGCATAGTCAGATATGCTCCTTGGACCTTATCGCAGACCAATGGTTCTCAAGCTTTAACATGCATCAAAATCACAAGGAGGGCTTGTTAAAACACCCATTGCTGGGCCCTATCCCAGACTTTCTGATTCAGTAGGTCTGGAGTAGGGCCTGAGAATCTGCATTTCCCAAGTGACACTGATGCTAACGGTTAAGGGAACCCTCTTTGAGAATCACCGTTCTAGACAGAGAGGGTGCTTGAGCAAAACTGACAAGTGATTTACAGGGTGTTCTTGAGCTGTAAGATGACAGTTTCTGGGACATGGGCTTTGTGTAAGTGGTTATAGAATATGCTCAGAAGTATAGAAATGAAAATAAAACACTTCCTTCTCTAACAAAAGGGAGATAAATTACCATTCCTAGGAAGGTGAGCTGACATTCAAGACTATGTATGGTGATGGGTGTTAACTAGATTTACTGTGGTGATCATTTCACAATATATACAAATATCAAATCATTATGTTGTACACCCTGAAACTAATATAACGTTATATCAATTATATCTCAATAAAAATAAAATAGTAAGTAAAATAAAACTCACTTAAAACAAAAAAAAATTGCATAAGTTCAATCTAATCAAGAAAACATCAGTCAAATCCAAATTGAGGGACATTTACAAAATAACTTACCATCACTTTTCCAAAGTATCAAGGTCATGAAAAAGAAGAAAAGACTGAGGAAATGTCACAGATTGAGGGAGACTAAGGAGATATGGTAACTAAATGTAATGCAGTGTGGAATCCTGGATTAAATCCCAAAACAGAAAGACATTAGTGGGAAAATTAGTAAAATTCTATACGTCTGCAGTTTCATAACTATTGAACCAATGTTAATTTCTGGGTTTTGATTATTGTACATAATATACAATACATATACATATACATATATAACAATAGTTATATAAACTATTAACAGTAGGGGAAGCTGAATGAATATTACACGACTCTCTGTACTATTTTTGCAACTTTTCTGTAGATCTAAGATTATTTCAAAATAAAAAGTTAAAAAAAAAGACTAGGTTAAAACTATGTAACTACCCCCTCTGTGATATGACATTTATTATCTCTAACCTGGTATCTTTCAACTCCACTCGCTACTCCCAGCTTTGCATCACACAGGTAATCAATCAGTAAGATAACGAGGCAACAGACTTTTGAGCACATAACTAACTAAATGCACAAAGAATAGAAACACAGTGTCACTCATTCTTTATCAATGTGAATATAATACTAACACCTCCTGAATTTTAATATTTTACTTAGCATGCTATAGGTTAAAATTCTTCAAAGAAACAACAAGTTGAAATCTATTCAGTAGTTTCACTTACAAATTTTAAGGAACATTCCATACTCACCAAAACCATCAATATCTAGATTATTTTCAAGCACAACATCTAGTAGAGAGTCACCAACTTTTCCTTTGGCTGTTAATGTTTCACCATCGCGGTTTATAAAGTGGACTGTTATTTTATCTTCTGAGCTGGAAAACGAAGCATTCTTTTGTTATTTTTAGTAATTTCAAAAGATACTTTAAAGTAATTGTTTTAAAAACCTAAGGTCAAATAAATGGGATTGTGTGTGTGTGTGTGCACGCACACACAAATATGCTCTTTTATAGTATTTTCTTTTCTTTCCAAAGTTTACTTGGGAAGAAGGCACCACAAATCAGAGGCATGTCTACCTACCCACCTACCAGGAGGGAAGCTCTACGACCTTAAAGGAAACAGCAACGACATCACTATCAAGGCCACTGCAGTATGCGTCTCCCCAGTGGTCATGGTCACAGGTCACAGTTATGTGAACACATTTAGCAATCATCACTCATGAAGTCTACTTCGCTCTCACATAGCTCTCTGTAAACAATGTCCCTATGACTGCGCCCCTAAAAGATTAGACCACGGGGGTGGAGAGCTATCTCTAAAGCAAATCGTTCTGCTATCAATAAGGCAACTGTGCAAGTGTCTCATAGGCACTGCTGCTGAGAGGCAGCAGTTAAGATAGTCTTCTGAGTATTTAAACATTTCATTTTGGTCCAGTGTGTACTCAAAAATCAAAAGGACTAGAAAAGGTTTTTATTTGCTTGAATCTGTGGGAAGATAAATATAATACTTGCTTACATGTTCTACTATAGGATTTTGTATTATCTCTCAGTTAGCTGACTTAACTTTCTTCCCCATCTCACAAACATCCAAAATTTGGGAAAAGAAATTATAGTAACAACTAGATCTTTCTCCTCCACCACTGGTCATCTTAATTTTTACCGCACAAATGAAAAGACACACTTCAGCTTAAAACAATTAGTTGTAATTTTCACTACTGCCAAGAGATGGTAATAGTCCATCAAAGAAACTTTGTTTAATGTAGGTAAAACCTAGAATTACATAACTTCAAAACTATAAACATCTTGCAAATTATCAAGTCCAATTATCTCATTTCACAAATGAGGCAAGTGCAGCCCCTATCGGATAATGAATTCCCTGATAATTCAATGCTGAAGAAAGAGGATTCTGTTAATTAAAAATTACCAGAAGTGTGTGTGTGTGTGTGTGTGTGTAAGAAAGAGAGAGGAAGAGAAAGAGAGAATGTCCCTCAAAAGGGTCTATGGTCTCCAACTTCTTTTCACAGCAAAAAATGCTTTAAAAACAAATATCCTCAAACATTATTCATGATTTTCAACTAGATGCCATTTTTTCAAGGTAAAATGGCTGAAAATGAAGATACTCTGGAGGCAGGGAGACCACTTTGGAGATTATTGAAAGAGCATAAACTAAGCAAGGATGTAGGAGACACTGACCTAAGAGATATTCAAGACGTAGAATTAAAAGGTTTCGGTGACCATCTATATAAGGTGGACTGAGAGAGAGGGAAGAAATAACGTTAAAATTTCCAGCTTGATGGGGCCGGCCCAGCGGTTAAGTGCGCGCGCTCCGCTTTGGCAGCCCAGGGTTCGCCGGTTGGATCCCAGGCACGCACCAACGCACCGCTTGTCAAGCCATGCTGTGGTGGCATCCCATATAAAGTGGAGGAAGATGTGCATGGATGTTAGCCCAGGGCCATCTTCCTCAGCAGAAAAGAGGAGGATTGGCATCGGATGTTAGCTCAGGGCTGATCTTCCTCACAAAAAAAAAAAAAAAAAAAAAATTTCCAGCTCGGACAATTAAGGGGTACAGTTTAACCTAGGGTTACCAAAGAAGGAGGAGCTTTGGGAAAGATGAAAATGAGTTAAAGTTTAGACCTGTTTAATTTAACAATAGCAAAAAACAGATGAGACTGTCCAGAAGCCAGAGGGAAATACGGGTCTCAGCTCAGCAGAGCAGTCTAGAGATTTGACATCAACAGACGCCTGGTGGCTCAAGCTACAAGAAGTACAACAGCAGAAACTGCATTGTTTATACACACTACTGAAAGCCAGAGGCTTCAGGATTGCTGTTCTTCTGGAGCACTCTAGAGCTAAGCTTACAGCAAAGGAATTCAAACTCTTGGACATCAGACTCCTCTTCTGTAAAAACAGGGTAACAATGGATGCAAAATACAAACCTGACACAGAGTTGAGTTCAACAAACACTGATGAGTATCTTTTTTTAAAGCCCCAGGCATTTTGCTGCTAAGAAGCCTGAACAGCTGCGATGTAGTAAAGCTGTACAGCCACAGAAAAAACTCAGAGTAAGAGTAATAATAGGTTTACCAAAGGACAGGAGAAGCAGCAGAAATGAGAGAGGAAAGGTAATTCTTCAGTTGAAAAAGTATGGAATGTAAGAATCAAAAGATGTAGATTCTAGCCCTGGTTCTGACATATACTCATGAGATGACCATGGAACCCACTTACTTCCTTATGAGTAAGATGGGGACAACAGTGACTTCACTAAGCTGCCAAAAGAATTAAAGCATTATACATGTCCTTTTCGCAAGTAACTGTATCCATTCACCGTTAACAATTGGTGTTGGTGGGTTTTGTAGACTTTTTTCCTCTAGTTCTAAGAACTAGCAAAAAGCTTTTCACTGTTCCCAAGAAGGATAAGATTTCATGCACTGGGAAATAAATATGATCCTTCTAAATCCTCTATCACCATCAATTAATCAGTCAGCACCACAAACAACTGGTTTCTTCACTTGTTACTCTTTACTCACTGCCATTTATTCTGCTCAACCACAGCAAATATTTTAATAAAGCTGTCAGGGGGTGCTGTGGTCAAGTTCTTAACAGATTTTGATATCGGCTCAAGACAAGGTTGACATAAGGGAAGCCATATTGTAGAAAAGAAACCCTATTGTAACTTTGACTGACCTCTGACTAACCAGCTGGATATGCGCCCTCCAGGAGATCTAACTGCTCTAGATTTTACAACCCCTACTTGTGCATGTACCTCCCAGCTGTGATAAGATGATAACTTTGTTCTTCTGAATTCCTCAGCAATGTGATGACCCCTCAACTGGCTGATAGCCATCATCCATGAAAATTGAAAGATCTGGTGTGGCAACTCCCAGTCTGTAACATCAGAGGGTCAACGTTCCTAACCTCCTCCCCTATAACCCACCGGCCTGTATAACTGCTTCAAGATTTTGTGCCCCCTTAAGATGGTTCTTTTGGACATTAGTCGGCCATCTTCCCCCTTGCTAACAAGGTGTAATAAACTACCCTTTCTCTGCCACCATCTTGCCTCTTGATGATTGGCTTTTGTCTCGCGGGGAGCAGATCGTGCCCTTTGTGCAGTAACAGTTTCTGAACAGGAGGGGAGTTATAGCTGCTGATGCCCACCCTTTCACTATATAGGGTAGCCTAGGGCAGTCGGTCCAAGAAAAGGGCCTTGTCTAGGGCTCCCTGCTTCCATAGCCACCCTCACTCTTCCAAATGACTCTACAGGTTAAAGAATTATCAACTATTATGGTGCTCAAAAGACAAAAAAAAAAACTACTTGAGTTCTAGTCCTAGTTTTGCCAGCTACTTAATACTAAATTTTTATTCCCATCTATCTACCCCACCTACCTCACAGATTTTCCTAAGAGTCAAGTGAAATAATATATGTAGAAACCCTTTGCAAACTAAATCACTACAAAATATAAAGTATTGTGTCAGGGTATTTTGGAGTAAAAGGAGTTTTTCAACTCTCAATTACTGATAAATTACCTAAATGTTAAACTTAAAAGACATAACTACAGCTTCTAGACTGCTCTGTCCAATTGACCTCTGTGCAATAACAGAGATGTTCTATACCTGTGATGTTCAACACAGTAGCTACCAGCCACATGTGGCTACTGAGTACTTGAAATGCGACCAGCGCAACTGGGAAAATGAACATTTAATTTTATTTAACTTTATCTTAAAGAGCCACATGTGGTTGCTGATAACTGTACTGGACAGTACAAGTTTCAGATGATAAAAGCTGGAAAGTCTAATCGTAGCTCCAAAGTCTGTGATAAGAAGCACAAGGCCATCAACTGAAACTGTGCCAATGGGGGGGAGGAGGGCAGGATTAGGAGGGAAGAGAACAGATGTGCTTCCCTTCAAGACAATTTGATACATCCAAATTCAAACAATCAACTTGAGAGAGAGAATTCCCATTTACAAAAGTATTCATGTTCTCTTAAACACTAGTTACACAAATATGTTCAATATACGTCCCAATTGATACACAATTTTTCAAGAATGCATCCATAGTAGAAAGCAAGGCATCCACGCAGAGGGAGGTCAAAGGCACGGAAGTATAGGGGAAATATGGACAAATACATCTGGTTTGCCTTCTCTGTTATCTCCCTCACAGTTCACAAAACAAAAATTTATTAAGCAACCACTACATAATAGGATTAAGGGGGGAAAGATGAATAAGTCCTAGACCCTATTCTCAGGGGCCTTATCAAGAAGAAACTAGAAAAAGCACATACAAATCCAACACTCTCTCCCTCCAGTTCTTGCTTCCTGCTACATGACAGCAGGGGGTCAGAGGGCTGTTCTGAGGTCGGCATTATATAAGGTTCCACCCTGTTGCTATACTCTGAAATTATCAGTAAACTTTCTCTCTATTATATCTAAGGGGATTGTTGTCTTTGAAAAACAAATATGCCCAAGAATATAAAACTTCAACATATTTGGGGGAAATTTTTTCACATCTCTTTCAACATTTAATACAAAACACTCAACACTGTGGGCCTAAAAGGAAGCGGCTGCTGCTAACAGGTGGCATCTACGGAGCCGTCATTGTTTGCCAGACACAAGATTACCGGCATTACCTGTATTATCTCATTTATTCTTCAAATAACCCCACGAAGCCTATACTATTGTTATCCTCCACTTACAGATCGGGGAACTCAAATTTACAGAGACTGAGGAAGTCAGACAAGGTAGACAGTAAGTGCCAAAGTCCACTTGAAAACCCTGCCTTGCCACTCCAACGCAGGGGCTTGTAACCCTGTATCAACCAGAAGAGAGCATACAGGCAAGCACAGGGGATAGAGTGGGTGTATTCTAAACGGACATTACCCTGACAATGAATTACAGACAGAATGTCCTAACAGAACAGGAGAAAGGCCCAGAAAGAAATGGCTGGCCGGGACGTCAGTGGGGAGTATCTAACGAAGGTCACTGCAGGTACCTGGCAGAGCAAAGGTCACATCCGAGCAAATCGCATGGACAACCAGCGGCAGCAGAGCGCCCGACTTTCCTGAGGGCATAGGAGGCGCCAGGAAAGGGAGATTGGGGGTCCCAGGTCCCCGTTTCCCGCCAGGCGTCTGTGGTTTGGAAAGAAAACTTCCAGCGTAACAGAGGGGAGGCAGCGACGGCACCGCGACCAGACAGAGCCGCCAGGAGCACCCCGGAGAAGGCGGAGCGAGAGGCTGGCCGTCCCGCGCGTGCGCCCGGGAAAAGCCAGCGCAACCAGAAACCGGGCCGAGGGAGCGCGGCCGCCCGGCGAGGGACCCCCGGCCGCCCGCGCGCGCCGACCCACGCTCACCTGCTCCGCGCCCGCGCCGACGTGCTCAGCGACCGGGCAGCCCCCGCGCCGCCGCCCAGGCCCAGCTCGGCGCTCCCGCGCGGCCTCGGGCTCCCTGGGAGGCCCCCGGCTCCCGCGCGGGGTCCGGCGAGGAGCAGCCACCGATGGGCCGCGCCGCCGAGGACCGTGGAGGCGGCCCGCAGCAGCCGCACGCTCCCCGCGGCGGCCATAGCCGGCGGTCGGGTACAACCGGACGCGACGCAGGCCGCACAGCAGCGGCCACGAGGGCGAGCGGACGGCTGCGCAGGCGCCTGACGGCCGAAAGCTGCGGCAAGGGGCGCGGGGGGCTGGGTTCCGGCCGAGGCCAGCTCCGTGCCGCGCGCCGCCCGGGTGACCTATAAATCCATTACCCGCCCAAGTGCACCCATTCTCCCCGCGCGTTCCCACGCCTTCCGGAAGGGTTTTTCCTTAGGGGGCGGGGCCAAGCGCTTTGCTCTTTCACCTACTGATCTGGTTTTTTCTTAACCTTGCTGCTTTGTTAGCGGTTAAAGCTGCCACGCAGGATCAATAAATATTAAAAGGTAGCTGAACGTCTGACGGGAAGATACAGTAAAACAACTCCCAGTTATCTAAACCACTTCCTTCTGTTCTGCACTTCCCCCCCACCTCCTTCCAGTTAAAAAAACAAGATGGGAGATTGTCATCTTGGAGTTCAAATTAGAGTAAAAGGGAGTTCTGGGCATTGTCAAACAAGGACAGTAGGAAATTTCAGAATGCCAGTAGGCGTGATACACGGGAATAATGATGACTATAAAGTTATAAATGATCATAATAATGAATAAACTTGGGGAAACTGGGGAAGGCGGGTAATAATACTAAGCCTTGAATGGCAAATAAATGTTCGCTGAGTACAAGAGATACGTGAGCCTTGACAGGAAACTTTTTGATGAACTGAGATTTTTTTAAAGACTTACAAAAGCCAGAAAGATGAGTTTAAAAATATACTTTATCATGCTTAATATGTTGTGGTGGGAGCCAGCCCTGTGGCTTAGCGGTTAAGTGCGTGCTCTCTGATGCTGGCGGCCCGGGTTCGGATCCCGGGTGCACACCGACGCACCGCTTCTCCGGCCACGCTGAGGCCGTGTCCCACATATGGCAACTAGAAAGCTGTGCAACTATGATATACAACTATCTACTGGGGCTTTGGGGCGAAAATAAAATAAAATAAGTCTTTAAAAAAAAAAAAATATGTTGTGGTGGGAGAGGCTGGGCTTTGACGTCAGACATGGCAATGTTCAAATCCAAGGTCTACCACTTTTGAGCTCTGAGACCTTGGATAAATTATCTTCTCAAAGGATCAGTGTTTCCATAACACTTCAACACGGATAAGATGTTCCATCCTTCAGGGCTATTCTGAGGGTTAGGCAAACAAACACGCACAATGGCTTAGTGCGTCACAAACATGGAGCCATAACTCTTCCTGGGCCTGCCTCCCTAAGGCTGCACTTAAAGCAGCTAAAGGCCAGAGTCAAGTGGATATTGCAAACATGCTAAACACAATAAAAGATACTTTAAAGAATATTCAAAACAAGAAAGTATAGACCTGAGTAAAGTCTCTCAAGATTATGTATGGCTGGTATTGAATCTGATGGCAGAGAGACCGCAGTCTTCAGCTCCTAAATTGCCTCAATTTTCTTTTAAAGAGAAAGACATTCAAGTTAGGGCACAAAACGCTAGTAAGTAATCCGAAAGAGGAGATTGTAAAAGAAGAGTTAATTTTTTTTTAATAAGATCAAATCTCCAAAGTCAGATGAATTAATTGTAGAAAGAGAGCTGGGAAAAAATTGCAGATGTTACCTCTCAGCCTTCCTGCAGCAAATCCAGCTTCGACTAGGTTATGGCCCTTACAGCTTTCTGCTTTGTCGAGTAGTTGTCTGTATACATAGGGTAGTTGTTTGTATACATAGTTCATCTTAGTAGCCTCCACATTACCAGGTCCAGGGCCTTGAGTATATCAAGGGTTCAATAAGTATTTGTGAATAAAATAATGTTGCCATGTAACTTCGATTAGTAATCACCAGAATTCATGAATCATGTGTCTGAAGATTCAAAATGGAAAAAATGTTCTCCAGATTTTCAAAGGCCGGTAAGGGCTGATTCCAAGGATTACAGATATCAATGCTCAGCGGTATTCCAGACGGGATTTATAAACATGTGGTTCATGAACACAGATAAAAAAGCAATATAGAATTATTGAGGACAAGCTTTTGCTTATGTATTTCTCCGTCTTACCCAGAACTTCCACGCCTCAGTCTTTCATTCCTGTCAAAATCCATCCGCAGTTTGAAACTCGTCTCAAATTCTTTCCCGTGGAGTCACGCCTATTCATCCCAACAGATCATCCCTCCCTCTGCTGAATGCCTAAGACTTTTGTTTATTCTTTTAAACCTTATAGTATCTGTTGTTTCCAATACTATAATCTTCATGAAAATGCTTTGTAAACTGTAGTGTCATAAAAATTTAGATTCAATGTTTACTGAGCACCTACTCTGAGCTTCATGGTACTGTGTGCTCCATCACACATACTTTGTGTAGCTCCTCTAGACTGCAACTCTCAAGCGTAGGGATGCTGTCTTATTTGTCTTCATGTCCCCAGCTCCTGGCATAGTGCCTGGCACAAAGCAGTCATTTAATAGTATCTGTTAGGAACTTTTGTAATTTTTATCTCATTTCATTATCACAACAACTCTGCAGAGTAGATATGCCTTTAATCAACAAATATCTATTGACATGAGTAGTGTGTAAACCACTATGCTAGTGCTGGAGACCCAGCAATGAACAAAACAATCCCTGCCCATTTGCTGTAGAGATGAGGAAACAGAGGTTCATGGGCTGTGACTTTCTTAAAATCATATTGCTAGTAAGTTGTAGATCCAAAATTCAAGTCTAAGTCTTCCTGGTCAGAAGTCCAGGGCATAAGCACAAGAAATGATCATTTTATTATTTTTATTATATATTTACATATATTTTATTATGTACTGTAAGATATATTATTAATGTATATTTATATATTATATTTTTTTTTCAACTCTATATAGTAGAGGCTTGAGATTCTACACGATCCACATAATTTAGGGATAAGGTCAGAAAGTGTCATCAACTAAATTTAAAAAAAAGAAGTATAAAATTAGACCTAAGTAAATTTCACCCCAAGAAATTACTCCACTCCTAGGTGATTTATTAATATGGCTGATGGCATTGGTGAGTTCCTAAATTTAAATTAAAGATATAACTGATATTTAAATAAATCGCCAGCTTTATATTAATTGATTTTCCTGCCTGCAGTCTTATCTTGCTCTAAAGCATCTTCCATATTGCCAGTAGGCTAATCCTTTTAAAATACTGAAATGATCATGTTACTTTCTTGATGAAAATTCTTGAATGACATTCCATCACCTATGGAATGAAACCAATGGCTCAGCTGGGCACACAACACCCCTCAGGCTTTTTCCATTGCCCATCTGTCCTGCTTATGCCTTTCTCCTCTACAGGTTATGTACTCCTCTGCCTGCACCTGGTGTGCATAGCCAGCCTCCAGGACTCAGTCCTTGCAGGAACCATTCTCTGACATGCGCAACTTTTGTGAACATTACACACTGTAAATCCCTCTGTCATCGTTTCCAATTAAATAATTATATGCAAATAAGAACTTGAATCAAGTGGCTTGCTTGGTTTCAGGTCACATTTCTTTGTTAAGATTACTTTTTAGGTGATGTCATATCCTTCAAATGCTAATAGCTGGTTGTCTCTTGTTGTAGCCACCCCTGATGATCAATTCACTTGGGGTTGCAAAATGCTAGTGTTCTAATTCTATCATTCCTTCTTCATTGAATATCCAGACTACTTCTATAAAGACAGACTTGCGCTCATCTTCTATTTAGATAGGCTGAAGTACAGCCTGTATAGGAAAGGCAGGATAAATGCTCAATTGTTTCCCCTTGTATATCTGTCATACTTACAGGTTTATTCATGTTTTCTTTTTATTCAAAAGCTGGTTTAGAAAGTGTAATTTTCTAGAAAATGGTATATTTCACCTCAACTTTCAAAATGTATTGGCATAAAATTTTTCCTAGTATTTACTCATCTTTTTAAGACAACTCTGATATATCTATAGCTATATTGCTTTTTATATTTCTTGTATTATTTTGTGAGTTTCTCTCTTTTTTCTTTGAATAATCTTGGGAAAAGTTTATTTCATTAGTCTTTTCAAATAGCAACTTTGGACATTGATCTTCTGTGCTGAATCTTTGTTTTCTAATTTTATTTATTCATTTCTCTTTATAATTTCTTTCATTCTAAGTTCTTTGGATTTACTTGTTTGTTCTTTTTCTAACTTCTTGATATAGATATTTAGCTCATAAATTTTCAATTTTGTTTTTTAAAAGAAGTATTTATGGGGGCTGGCCCAGTGGCATAGTGGTTAAGTGCATGTGCCCCGCTATGGTGGCCTGGGGTTCAGATCCCGGACACACACCAATGCGCCACTTGTCAAGCCATGCTGTGGAGACGTCCCATATAAAGTAGAGGAAGATGGGCACGGATGTTAGCCCAGGGCCAGCCTTCCTCAGCGAAAAAGAGGAGGATTGGCATGGATGTTAGCTCAGGGCTGATCTTCCTCACAAAAAAAAAAAAGTATTTATATTTCTCTAAGTATTTAAATTCCTTCTAAGTAGTGTGTTTGGCTGTCTTTAGAATTTGAAAAGCAATGTTTTCCTTATCGTTCAGTTTAAATATTTTCAAATTTCCACTCCGTTTATCCTTTGACAATGAGCCATTTGAAAGTACGTTTTTAAATGTCTAAATGTACAAAGGTTAAGAATCGATAACACTGCAGAAGCAAAGGTCAGTGAACCTGAAAACACAGCAATAGACACGTTCAAAAATGACATCCAAAGATAAAAGAGACGGGGGTAAAAAAAAGAACACAGCATCATTGGCCTGTGTGACAATATCAAATGGTCTAACAAGTACTTCTATTTGGAGTCCCAGAAGGAAAGAGAATGAGGCTGAAATAAAGACATTTTTAAACCAAGAAAAATTGATGGAGCTGTTGCCCTCAGACTCTCACTGAAAGAACCTATTAAGGGCCGGCCCCGTGGCTTAGCGGTTAAGTGTGTGCGCTCGGCTGCTGGCAGCCCGGGTTCGGATCCCGGGCGCGCACCGACGCACCGCTTCTCCGGCCACGCTAAGGCCGCATCCCACATACAGCAACTAGATGGATGTGCAGCTATGACATACAACTATCTACTGGGGCTTTGGGGGGAAAAAATAAATAAATAAAATCTTTAAAAAAAAAAAAAAAGAACCTATTAAGAGGATGTTTGTGG